TCCTAGAGCTATTTTCAACCCTGGGGCACCTAAGGCATTCTGGCTGAGTTAGTGGTGTTCTTGGTACTCTGAGATTTAATGGAGTTTGAAACCTTGGTCTAAAAATAACCCCTGCAAGGGAAGCAAAGTGAATTCAGGGTATGGAGGGTAGATAACATCTGAATGGGGTCTTCAGCTTGGGGAAGGACTTCCTGAATTAGAGTACCGCTTTCTGGCTTCCAAGATGTAGGAGTCCTTTCCACATCATCTTCAAGAAGTTTGGCAGCTGCCAGGTTAGAAATAATGATGATCTTGGGAACAGATTTTATAGGGAAAACTGAACATATTACCACCTCTATTCAATTTTTTTTATTCTTTCAAGCTGAGTAAATGAGGGTGGATGTGGGTTCCTTCCAGGCAGTTCCTTCAACAGTTGCTATGGAAACATGAACCCCTTTTCCCCCCAATAGATGTGCCTGAAGGAGCCAGGACAGAAGCTCTAGGGAGCTCCTGGGCTCTTTTGATCTCGGATCAAGTTATTTAAATGACTAGCAAAGTCACTGCATTACCATCCAAACATTTTTAAGGTCTTGAAACAGATTCCTATTCAGTTTTGGGGCTCAAAAGAGCCCAGGAAAACACAGATCTGTAGACTAATGATGAAAATGAATTATCCAATTCTAACCTACAAGAAAGGGTCTCATAGCGGCTGAAGGTCTCGGCTCTGTCTGGCCCACACTTCCAGACATCAGCTTCTCTCAGCCTCGCTTATGCAGGCAAGAAACCTCCGCCACCAACACCTGATCAGGTAGCTCCCTGGAGAAGTGCCAGGTTCCTTTTTCCAAACTACAAGTACTTCAGGAGCGGAGCCTTTTCTCTCCAATCACAGAAGGCCCCTGCAGCCTCTCCTGGCTGCGAGCAGCTCATCGCAGAGAACACTCCCCAGGTAAGACAAAGAGGAGCGGGGGAGAACCTGATAGCTGCCCAGAAGGCATTTTCACAGTGTTGCAAGGGGCATGGTTGTGGTAATAATAATAATAATAATTTAGAAAATACTTGAATGGCATTTTCCTTCTTTCCATGTGGGTATTTTCGTTGGACAGATGCATTCAACACTTACAATGTCTATTACTTAGAACACAGGGGTAATAATCCACTCTGCAGATCTATTGTGAAGGTTACACAGAACAATTATAAGAGGTCTGGCACAGTAGCTGGCACAGAGTACAAATAACAACCGTCATTTCTTCTCCCATTTCTTCCAAGATTAAACTGGTTTCCAGGAAAACTGTGAGAGTCCTGAAAACCAGGCATTGCTAGTAAGTCCCAGCGTCACCAAAAAGGTAAATATATTGTCCACCAACCTCATTTTGTACCACACCTTTGTGACCTTTTTCCAGAGATACACAAAGAGGGGACTGCTGAAGCCAAAGGCATTTTCCCCCTAGAAAATGCATCCATTTATCGGCAGAAGGCAATTCACAGACCTTGTCCATGGAATTCCAGAAGATGTACCGCAGGGGCATTTGCAGTGAAGGCCAGCGGCCCCATCCAGCAGTACACAGGCGCGCTGGGGTCTGGCAACCCACCTGTGACACCGGGAAGCCAAAGCTCCTGTTTTCAGCCATCTTTTCATTATGCTTTTAAATACAGACTCCCCGCTCACCAGCCATGCCTCTTTTATTTCTTTTGGGGTTGTAAGCAATTTAACAAAGAGACCAATTTCTAAGAGGTATAAAGAAATAAAGCTCTGCGAATGCCTTCTGGGGGAAAAGCATGGAAAGTAGATTTTATGTAAAATTACAGAGTGCAATCTAATACTTTTTTTTCTTTTTAAAGGGAGGGGTAGGGTTGAGAACCTTAGATACCAGTTGTTTTGCTCTTTATTAAGAAAATATTAGTGTCCTGGAGTCCAAGATTGTGAGTCAGTATTTTCCAGGATTAACAGTTAATTTTCCTTCCTACAAAACCAACATATTTAACTAAGTTTCTGAAGAGTTATAGAGATGGAACACTTTCAGACTCTTGCCCTACAATTGACAGGCTAATCTACATCACAGGCTACTGAGGTAAAATTCTTAAGAGGTATAATTTCTGTTCTTAGCAGGCTTACCAGTGTCCCACCAAAGAGAAACAAAACATGGCAATGAATTTCTAACAAAAGAGTTAGAACTCAGGGATGACACCAGCTGGGAGCACAAAGCAGGTTCCGTCATCCCTGGGCCGGTTGCTAGGACTGTCTGCTTGCTGGCCTGGTCGCTGCCGATGCCTGGGCGTGCCTGAGACACAGAGGTGCTTTTTCACTTTGCTCCTGGAGCAGGCGGGTGCTAGGACAGAGAGAGCCAAGGCCACCTCTGGGTCAGGTCATTTCATATTTGATTCATCCACAGGCAGGCACAAGCACAGGCATGGCAGATAGGGAGAGCCCTGCCGCCCACCAGACTGCTGTGTGTCGCACTGTTTCTGAGGACTGACCTAATTTTCTGTCACTGGACTTTGTACCTTCTTGGTCCCTAAATAGACCACAGCACACTCATGCTCACTGCATGAGCCTGGGGCGAGGGGGAATTGCGAAGGTGAAAGCCTCTTTTAAGGCCATTTGCCAGTAAGGAACACGCATTGCATTGTGAGCGCAGAACTCCGTGATCCTGAACCTCTGCCAACCAAAAGAAAGCTGTGCACACACTGCTGAACTTTTACAGCTCCACCACAAGAAGTACATAAGGCATGTGTAATCCAGCTGTAAATCTTCTTGGCAGTTCGGTCCCACCCCCCGGCCACCAGGTGGCTGGGTTTCCAGTCTCCTTGGCACACGGTCAGTGCAGCAACCCTCTCTGCTGACTGCTTCATAGGCTTTGGCTTCCTCCATCTACCAGGCTGTTGCTCTCCTCTCCTTCTGACCTGTCCTACCAAGACAACCAGCGGAGTGCACCAGTGTGTACACCGGATCATTCTTTTCTTCTCCTTCTTTTTTGAGACAGGGTCTCGCTATGCAGTTTAAGCTGGTCTTGAGCTCACTTTGTAACCCAGGCTGGTCTCAAATTCCTGAGGAGCCCCTGCCTCTGCCTCCCGAGTGCTGGGATTAAAGGCATGTGCCACCATGCCTGGGTTGGATCATTCTTTTTTTAACATGTCCTACAGAGATGACAACTTGCACAGCGTACCAGCATGTACATTGGATTATTCTTTTCACTGCATCTGAGACAATCTTCTTAGTGTGCGAATACAGAGAGGGGGAAAAACTTTTGCTCTAGATCCTTACAAAAGGCTTAAATAAAGTACAAACACAAATCACTTGACAATTTTATGATTAAAACCAACAAATGGGAAAGACAGCGTTGAGTGCTGCTAATATAATCACGCACTTCATGCCAACCCACCCCACCACCCCATTTCTTGGACCTGTTTCTAGAGGTACCAAATGTGTCTGAGAAAAAAATTGCTTTTGCACAGCACGGGCATATCCAGTATAGGGACAGAACCCCAGGCCCAGAGCTGCAAGTTTGTGGGGATAACACTTCGAGTTTCATTAAACACTCAAAAGTCAGGTCCCAAGAAACCTGTGGTTTTGTGCATGTGTGCAACACGTTAAAATGTTAAATGTGACTGTGTGGAAAATGATGTGAACATGTTTCCCCCCTGGATGGAGGACAGTGATTGCCTGGGAGGACACCCTCTGAGACACAGAGTAGTCAAATGGAAGACAGGAACATTTGCTTCATTCTTGCTTGACAAGATCATGCGATCCAGGAAAAGGTCATCCATGTAACACAGAACAAAGTCCCCAGGGAACAACTGTGAGGTGGGGTCTAGCAGTTCGTTTATAGTTGAGGAAAACTATTTTCATTGCTTGGCCAAAAACCATACAGGGGGAGGGAACTAGAAACCCTAGACTACTTGACTCTCCCTGCATTTTTCTGCCTGAAGCAGGATACAAAGCCTTACATTTTGGCTGCATCTCTATTTATGTAACAACCACAGCTGCTCCCCAAAATAGCTGCTGCTGGCTACAAGAATTAAGGGATTTTGTTGCTAACAAATTGGAGCTCATTTTCTAGAGCTCTTGAGCAGGTTCCTTCCCCTCACTTCTGGTGCCCCACGTCTGACTGGAGATGAGGAATCTTACTACTAGCATGTCAGTGGTGCCACTGAGTTCATGGCTGGGTTTAAAAGTCAAGGCTCCTCTCAGCAACAACAAAGCTAGGTCCTTTTTCCATTTTGTGGCAGGCGATCTCTTGAGAACTTCCCCCCTCAACACCTTAATGAGTCACCTTCTTAACTGTCTACTTTGGGAAGGTGGTAGGGGGCCGATACCAGGCCCTTAAAGTTTGCAACCCAAAAAGAGAACCATGCAGTGCGCCTCCTGCACCTCTGTGGGACAAACTCAAACCTGGATGGCTGGCGTGGCGTTTAGTAGGGTGCTTTCCCCTGAAAGTAACAAAGAGAACCCTCATGAAAGCTATTAAACATATTAAAAAAATACAAAAGTTATTTTTTCCTTTTGATTGCTATTTACTTGTGAGACAATATTTGTTAAAAATATTACTTCTGTCTTTGAGAAGAGATCATTCTCTTCATATAGTATGGAAAAATAAACTCTACTGAACACAGTCAACATTCCCCACCACTGCCAGGGCTTTTGGCTTTCACATCTCCAAACATCATCACCAGTGTAAAAGCTCATAATCTGGGGTAGGCAAATGCTTTTCACTGCACTACCGAGTAGTAAGAAGAGGAAGGTGGCAAGGCCATGAGGCATTGTGGAGGGAGAGAAGCACAAAATAGGATGCTTTGTTTGCTAACAAAATGAAAACATGGTAGCTTCAGTTCCTCCTAAAAGGTCATGGGTGTTCCCTCATCTCTTCTGACCATTCACAGCCCTTGTGAGCCATGGGGGACTACTAAGGGAAGGGTAGGGAGCCACACAGACCACTCATCAGTATCACTGCAAAGGAAGGCTCAATTTCCATAGCCAAGGTCATCTTAAAACACTGAGCTGGATGAATGGGAGAAGACAAAGATACATAAAAACAGTAAAATGTTTATTTCTTAGAAAAAAAAAGTGAGGAAGAGGGATTCAAAATGATTGCAATCACACTTCCATCTGCATCTGAGCAAAGCCAATGTTGCAAGCTTAATCCTTGGTTAAGGTATCTATTAGATGGAACAACCTGCTGCGCACTCCTACGTCACTTCCAGGAGTCAGGTCACACCATGCTTTTAACTGGTAATAGCTCTTCTACTTCTTCAGAGCAGAGGAACAAGGCTGGCCAAAACCACCACCTCATTTCCAAAGCTCAACATTGCCAGCGACAAGCAAGGCCCAGGCTGTCTCTGGATGGCTTGGGAGAGATATGGAGGAAAGAGGGAAGGAAATGCTTGACTTAGAAGCAGGACTGGCCTAGAAGTTTGATATGAGTTCACCACTACTTCATCTTATAGAAAATAGGTTGAAGAGCATCTGTAAAATCAATAGTATCTTTAAGGTGAAACTGCAGAATTTTGCTGCATACCTGGACACAAGAGAAGTGAAAAGTTGCAACAAGTTTAACTAGCAGCAACAAAGAAAGTTCGATATAACAGTTTTTTGTTTGTTTTAGCAATATTCCTTTGCAAGTTCATTATGAAACACTGTAATTTAATGGGGCATACGATATGGAACGATCTTCTGTTGCTATAGTGCTGTTCATTGAAGAGAACCGACCTTTGCAAAGATTGCAACTGGGGTGTAACCTATTTACACAGTAGTAGCTCCTGGTCTGAGTGATAGAATTGGTGCTATGTGATATCCTCTTCTTCCGAACAGTAATCCCGACCCTTGGAGGAAAAAAGAGAAAGAACAACACGTGAATGAGAAACTCAAAGCATTTCAGAGCTTAAAATAGTTACTGGCAATCAATTTTCTTTCAGCCTGAGACTTCTTGTAACAGAATCCAGGCTTTATTAGTGATTACTTGGCACAAAATAGATACGTCATAAATACAAGACAGAATATGTCTGTCTGTCTGTCTATCTATCTATCTATCTATCTATCTATCTATCTATCTATCTGGTGTGAAAGTTTTACCAAGCCCCAAATAAGCCCTTACTTTTGTTGGTAAGAATTTATATGAACCTGTATAACAGGTAGCCTTGTAAACTGTGGACAAATTACTCAGAAACCCGTTTCTCATCAGGAAGAGTCAGCAAGTCTCCTTCAGCTGCCCATGTCCTACAGCTACATCCTCTGCCTGCAACTTAAAATTCCACAAAGGGGAGGACTTGTAACTCCGGGATATCTTAGTTTTAATTCATTCTAAGACCATTGGTTAAAAACTTTATGAAGACCCTTGGGCCTGCTGGGCTTCAGACTTCATATCTGACCTTGCTTGGATAAAACACACATTTTCTGGGTCAGTAAATCATCACAGATATCATAGGAAAAAGACCTAAGCTGCTGCCTCCTAGGGTCATAGGTAAAGGCTTTTTAAAGTCAAATGTTGTTAATTATTATTATTATTTATTTTTTTTTAGTTTATCCTTTATTACACACACACACACAAAATCATTTCTCAGACTTTTGGCTAAGATCAAGTGTATTTTACACACAAACGTCTCTATAGAGCAAAAAAAAAAGTTCACATTAAATTTGAACTCTAAATTTTAGAATGGTTGAATAAATGTCATTCAAACTGCCAAGTGTAATTGAGACTAACGGTCTCTGAAAATGCCAAGCAAGACAGAATAGGGAATCCCAAATGGTTTTTGATGTACACTCATTCAATACCACAATTACTTATACAGAGGAAAAGACGAATGATTTGACTGGGCAGCGGTTATTGTTAAAGAAAAATAAAGTGGAAAAACTGAAATATTTATCAAGAAGTGATGAAAGCCAGGTGTGGAAAAAGATTCTGTAAGGGAGAGTTTCTGTACTGCTGAGGAAATAGCTGTACAATGTCAAGAAGGAAATGAGCGGGATGCGGGGCAGGGAAAGCTACCACAGGACGATGACATGGTCACAAAAGCAGGGCGCACACGGCAGCTTGACATCTTGCTGGGCTGTGGTTTGAAGATTTCCCTTCATGACTATTAGGAATTTACCACCAAACATTTGTGGCTGTCTCGTTACTGTTACTATTTGTCTTTAAAAATATTTCTTGGAATTCCCTAAATGTCCTGTGCTGTGCATGTGCTTCCACATGCTGTATGTGTTTCGCTGGAATGGCTGGGTGGTTGTGCGGGTATCAGTGGGAAATTTTCAAAAGACAATGCTTCAGTTTGGAACGCTGAAAGTCTATTCCCACATACTTGTGACAATAAGCCAATTATTCTGAATTATTAATATATATTTATACATTGAGCAAAAATACTGGCAAGTAGGACTGATAGCATGGGCTGGGTCTGGGGGTTCCCACAACGCAGTAGAAATTCCTACTCCTGTTAATTATTATTATTTGTATCCTTCAACTTTTTTTTTTTTTTTTTTTTGTGGTACTGGGGATTGAACTCAGGACCCTGAACTTGCCAGGCAGGCGCTTATTCTACTGAGCTATCGTCCCGGTTCTCCTTCAATTTTTTAATGCAAGCTACATATTCTAATTTTGGAAGGGAAATATTCCCTTAAAATCAAATTTTCTAAAAAGCTGAAAAGTAAGGCCCCAAGTGTCAACATGTAAGTAAGTAATAACACTTTTGGACATGACTGCTACTCAGATGTACTGAGTGTTTCTTTGTTCACAGCATCTGTGAACAGTTTCTTCATCTACAAAAGGAAGACAACAGCAATTCCCACTTGAAGGGGTTGCCCAAATAAAGTGACTAAAGAGACCTAGCCCACAGTGTTACACACAGTATGTGTGTGTATGCGCATGGGTGTGTTTGATAAATTAAAAATGTTGCCCTATAATAACAACTCCAGGCCTGTGAAAGTATGAGGTCACCTTGTCCATGCTAAATGGCCCCTGACTGCTTGTTCTGTTTGAAAGTTATTCATTGGTTGCTGTGTTTTGCTTTCCTCCACCATCGGATTGCTGGCCCTCACCCTGCTATATGCAAATTTCGGAGTCCAGCATTATCTCCAGGTTTGATTTATTTATTTATTTATTTTTGGTGGAACCGGGGATTGAACTCAGGCCCTTGTACTTGCCAGACAAGCGCTTATTCTACTGAGCTATTTCCCCAGCCCCGATTTACTTGTTATAGAAAACCAAACCTCTCCTGGGCAGAGAAAGTGGGTAGCCAATGGCCCTGAGGAGAGTAGTGTATATTTAGCACTTCTTCCCCACTGATAGCATCCCTGGCCAATGCTCAAGCTGATCCCATCCCTATTCTTGGCCCAGACCACCCAAGAGACACTGTTTTGAGTCACCTGTTGGAGAGGTAGAGAGGGGACTTTTGGGGTTCTTGATCCCAAAGTGGGAAACAGGTCACACAAGAACATTTGGACACAGTGCTATAAATGTCAAGGGATGCCCTCCACTTATGCTTAAGAGATGACACTCAGAGAGTGGACCTGCAAATACAGTGGGAGCTTGGCTGGGGATAGGGCTCATGAGATTTCATTTGGAAGGAAGTGTCACTGTAACGGTTTAGATCTACAAAATGTTTCCAAAGGCTCACATGCTCAGAGTTGATCGGCTTTGAGATAGTGATGGGATCACCACGCTCTAATTTCATCAAGTGGATTAATCTACTCACAAGTTCATTAGCAGAATTATCAGGAGGTGTGGCCTAATGGGAGGAGGCAGGTCACTGGGGAGTACAATACCCCTTAGGCCTTCCCTCTCTGCCTACCAACCATCTCGCTCTATTTTCCAGGTACCTTTGGGGGAGCAGCTTCCCCCCACATCCTTTACCTGGTTTCTGCCTGGGAGCCAGATGACCTTCAACGGAAACCCCTGAAGCTATGAGTTGGAAGAAATCTTTACCCTCAAAGCTGACCCTTTTCAGGTATTTGGTCAAAACAAAAAAAAAAAAAATTGACTAATATAGGGAGATCTGAGAAATTACCAGGCTTCCTGGGTGTAATAATGGCTTTAGGCCCTGATGGTTGTGATTAGGGCAAAGTGGGAAAATAGAGTGGCTGGTAGGTATCTACAAATGTTACATGTTATGAATATTATTATTTATACTAGATTTTTCATCCCTGGGACACAGTACCAACACCCATGACTTGAAGGAATTCCCTTCAGGTGGGAACTGCTGTTATTTTCATTTTGTAGATGAGGAAACTGAGGCACAGGAGGGTATACATGTACCAAAAAACACTCAGTACATCTGAGTAGTGGGCATGTCCAAAACTGTCATTACTTATTTATCTATCGACACTTGGGGGCATCCTTTTCAGTTTAGAAAATTTGATTTTAAAGGAACATTTCCCTTCCAAAAGTAGAATATGTTGCATTAAAGAGTTGAAGGGTGCTAATAGTAGTAGTCGTAACAGCAATACTCCACTTTACAAAGCTGAGGTACACGTCTCTTTCCAGGGGTCCATTCCCGGATCACCCAGCTCCACGGCAGGAGAAGCTGCTCTGCTCAGGGCTGCTGAAGTGGAGCAGGGGACAGAGCAGAGGACGGAGCTCTGGGCCATGTGGAGCAGCCGCACTCCTGCCTCCGTGAGCCACCCGACATCCAGGAACATGCTTTACTAGTCTGCTGGGTGATCCTAAATCAGTCAAGTGGACACAATTAAGGTAACCGTCCTACGGTTACTACTGCTGCTACTCTAATTGTTATTATAAACTCTGAGTTTGCTCAGGCTTCTGGTGGAGGAATAGGGATGGTAGAAGGTGATGTCCTTTCCCTTCTTATGTCTAAACGAGGCCTCAACTCTAAGCAAAGCCAATGAGGCGCCTCCACGAGGAAGAACGTGGAAGCGAGGGCAGAGCGATACACGCGTGGCCACGCCCACGCCGCCGTGCGCGAGAACTGCGGCACTCGCTGACAGAGCAGTGTCTGCAGCCCTGCAGATGAGCTGCAGCACCGCGTGGCCAAAGGACTAGTCCAGACCCTCTGATAGCACAAGAAGGGCTTCCCCGCCTACTTTTTGAGGGACAAAGCTAAATAAGCTCTCTGTATCAACAGAAGGCTGAAACTTCCATTTCCTAAGCATTTGTTGCACTAAATTATGACTAAGAAGAAGAAAATACATTAGTTGCTTTCAGATATTATTTTTTATTCATATCAATCCTGCAGGTTAGACGAGTCCTGTTAGTGATGGGAAAAATTTCACAGAAGCCCAGGACCACAGAGCTAACTTTTGTCAGGACTGCAGTGATTTGATAACCAAGTTCAAATTCCAGTCAGTTTCATTTCTGTTACTACCACCTGCCAGCAGCTCTGTGAACTAAATATTTTGGCAGCGAAAAGCTCTGAAATCAAAACACATCGAAGGCAGGAGCCTCCATATGGTCATCCAGGGCAGGGCCCAGTGCCCTGAGGAAGCTGTTGTTGGAGGCGCTCTGTCTCAACACCGCAGAGGCCTTATTTGCACATGGACCCTACTGGGCAGGACAGGGAGCTGGCCTCTGTAGCATGACTTCATGTCACATTTAAATTGTTAAAGAACTGTGCTAAAAAGAGAACTTCAAAACCTTCAGCTGTCAGAAGGCAGGAAGAAGGAATGAGGTTTGGGTGATGCACAGCAATCCTCTTGGCTGAAATACACCCTCCCCCTGAAGAGGACCCCAAGTGCAAGTCTTTGTAAAGATGTTTGCACCATTAGCATTGGGGACAGTGAGTCGCAACTGCAGCCCTGTGCAAAGCATGCACTGCCAGGTCACCAGGAGGCTCCTGTGGCTGCAGGACTGGGAAGTGCTAAGGATACCGACAAGGAA